AGCAGCAGATAATAAATTAATCGTATAATTATTTGGGGAGGATGTGGGGTGCTGGCAGTCCCATCAATATTTTGGGACAAAATCTGCAAAAAGCTTATAATGAGCTGAGCAGAGTTTATATCCTAGTTACTCTGGCCATTCTCACATAGACAAATGAGAGACAGGATTCTCCAGCTTCATTCCAAACGGATGGGGACAGGGCAGGGAAGCTTTTGCTTAAAGGAAGAGTAACATTAGGATATGACAAGTTACATATGGTGAGAAGGGTGGCCATGGCTGAGTTAAGGACTAGATAAAAAAGCAGACGGTGACGTGTGAAGAACAAGGGAGTAGAAAAGCAATTCAGCCTAGCCAGTATCTGGCAGTGACTTGTGATAGCTGAACATGGGCTTTCTAAGCCGAGCCTATGTATTAAAACACAAAAACAAACAAAACCATCCTGATGTTGAGACTAGTGCCAGATTTCTGTTTTTCCTGACCTGCTCTAGGAAGCACCGGCCATCACTCCTGGAGCATGACGCTCCCTGGGGTTTCTGGAAAGCAAGCCTGGCTTGTGTCAGCGGTAGCGAAGATCGACCCGAGGAGTTGTGTAGTGTCCTCAGTTCTACTCAAGGCCCAGGTGCCTGTGTCCTGGGCAGAGGGGAGCAGAGCCGCCTCTACGGATATCTTAACAGCTATTCCAATGGGCTCCCAAACAGCATCTGTTCAAGGCACAAAACCTTTGCCGTCGTAGGGTCCTCTCCTCCAGCAAGAAGGAAACATAAACTCCGGCCGGGGTGGTCTGCGGCCGCACCCCGAGTCCAGGTTCAGGCTGTGTGGGGAAGGGCCATCATTCAACACCCTGTCCACTCGTGCAGGCTGAGCACAAGTGCCCGGCACTGCTGAAGGTCGGCTGCGACCGGAGGAAGCCAGCTTCTGCTGGTTAGCCCTGTGCGCCCCCCATAACCTCACCACCTTTGCTACCAGCTGCTCACTCCACACAATGCCTCCCACAGGGAGACAGCCCACAGCAGAAAGGGAGTGAGCCTTCAGCCACTGGACTCGGGCTGCAGAAACCGGGGAGGCTCCCCACAGTCGTCATCCACTGCAGATGTGTGGACACAGGGGTGGCTCTGCTGGCGGTGGCGGCCTGAGGTGGAAAGGACACACTCACCTGGAACAAAGTCACCCCCTTCCCTTTGCCCCACAGGCTCTCGGGCCTCTTCTGCCTTCACAACTAGATGGGTAACAGTGATCAGTTAGGAGAGGAGACTCCCCCTGGCCCCTGTCTGGGGTCTGAGCTCTTTTGGGGCCTGTGCGATCCCTCCTCTCCACACAGGCCAGCAGGGTTGAAGGAACCCAGGGTGTGAGAGTATTTCTAAGTCTCTGGAAGGGCAGGGCTGTAGAAATCGTTCTGTGACCTTATTTTCCTGGAAGCTAAGAGACGCACACTAAACATAACTACTACGAAAATACAGCAAGCTGGAAGATGAACTCCACAGAGGCAACTTCTGCTACCTTTCTCTTTCTTCCCCAAACTCAAAGCACAAAGTGATAAGCTGACAATAAAAGGGGAGGGGCTTGGCAGGCAGGGAAGTACGCCTGAGCCCCTCTCCTCGCACAGACACATCCAAACGGCAAGGCACCAAGCTGCAAACGCTGAGCTCAGGAGTAATTAAATCAAATTAATCTTGGGAAAAGAGCTTTAAATATTCAAAGCCCCATTAATCCTCATGCCTTGTAATTAAATATGTATGTTAAGAAGGCTTGGACAAAAGCAAAATGTTCTCAATATGTGAATTCTTTACATTCGTAGCATTATAATGCGTTCTAAGTACTGACCTCGTAGAAAACTATGTAGAAAATTCAGTGAAGCGCACGTTGTAAAAACATGGCAGAAAGAATGTAGCTACAATCTCTGGCCATCCTGAGCACCTTTTAGAAAAATGTGCCTTGATAAACATCTTCAGTTTCCAGGCTCCACATTATTTGCCCAGTGATAACCCTCACTTAGTCTGGACTCTCCCTGGTCCTCACTCCTTCGGGTCCCGACGGGGCAGCCCTCACACATGGCTTGAAAAGTTCTTGGCTTCTGTTGCTCTGGGATCCTCTCTTCTATTTTACTTCCTTATTAAAACACACAGATTGTGTCATCTTCCAGGAATAACCTTTCCTTTGCTAATCAACCACTGAGAGAGACTGGTCAGCCCAGCCTATCGTGTGTCTTAGAGGGAAGACACCCAATGTTCCAATCCTAAAACACAGCATAATTGCCAAAACCCTCCAGGAACTGCTGCCATGTGGTCTCTGAAGAGCTCTCCCCTTTCATGGGACCCCACTGCCTCACAACCATCCTGGCAAGGGCAACAGGAATTAGCATGTCCATTTTTCTGATGAGGAAAATCAGAGTGAATGATAGGCTGATGGTCACACAGCAAGGAGTCTGAACGGCATCAGTTCTCCGATTAAGTGCTACAGGTCCGAACCAGCAGCACCTCCAGGAAAGGCTGTCACAATGCAGGCCCAATCACTCAGTGTGCTCCCGTGATTTGTCTAAATTGCTCGATGGGCTCTGTTAGAACTGCTGTTATCAACTACTTCTTAAAAAATACATGAGCTGGTGCTATGGACTGAATGTTTGTGTCCTTGCAAAATTCTTATGTGAAATCCTAACACCCCTGATGTGATGGTAACAGGAGGTGGGTGGAGCCCTCATGAATGGGATTCCTTAGAAGAGACACTTAGAAGAGACCTGGCTCTCTGCTCTGCCACGACGACACATAGAGAAGTCAGCCATCTGCAAACCAGAAGGTGGGCGCTCACAGGAACTGAATCTGCTGGCACCTTGAACTTGAACTTCCCAGCCTCCAGACTGCAAGAAATGAATGTTTGTTGTTTAAGCCGCCCAGTCTACAGTAATTTGTATAACACCCTGAGCTCAGACAGCTGGGTTTGGAAAGCCTGTCAACAAATCTTTCCAAGGTAGTGGTATTTGTGGTCATGGAAGTTTACTTACAGAAAATCTTAACAAGATAAAAGCAGAAGCATGGATTCATTACCATGGTCAACTGAATGTTAATCTGTCAGGAATACCAGGCTCAAACCCAAAACTAGAAATTAAGGGAACAGGTGGAGTTCTCAGAAAACAGAGTCTCTTTGTATCTATTTTTGGACAAAGATACTGTAGAAGGATTCTCATACCAATACCGGCGGATCTAAACAGCATCTTAAGTTTCTCTTCTGCCCCTTGCAAGATGCTGACATAGGCAGATTTCGTTCCAGGGGGAGAAAAACTAGATAAATGCGGAGAAATCAAGAATAAAAAAAACTCGCCTTTCGTTTATTTCCCAAGCCCCATGAGAGGGAGAAGATGAATGAACCCACCTGTATTGCAAAGACCTGAATATTAAAGGGGCCACCTAAGAATCTTACAAACACCCTCCCCCCCTCCATCAATCCTCAGGCCACCCCATGACACAGGTATGTATCATTATACCCGTTGTACAGATGAGGAAACCAAGTTACTGAAAGACTGAAGGACTGAGCTAGACCACATAGGTTACGCCCAAAAGTCTCACTGTCATTTGGCAATGAAACCAGAGAGGCGAGTGGAGCGGTAAATAAGCGTCAGAGGAATGGGTATGTCCGATCAATGAAGTCTTTGCCTCCTGTGTATTGATCTTGTTGCGTAACTGAGGGAACTTAGGACACAGACTTTAACATCAGAAGTTTCTGCCTCGTGAATCTCACTTCTGCGCGACTGCAGATACGGACCCTGACACAACGCCAGGTCTCACAGATGGAGAGGGCGTGCAGGTCAAGTGAGTGAGATGGAACTTCACCATCGAAACTGCAGGAAGCTCTGCCAAGTCTTCTTGGAACATTCATGAGAGTATTAACGGAAGACACTCCTGCTTCAAGTCCTGGATTCCTACTGCTGGCCTGCGAGGACACCAGGCTTTCATTCTGCTGTTCAAAGCACAGAACTGAAAGTGTAAAAACTGAAAGACATTTCCAGCAATGATTAGTCTTCCTTCGATTATTTAATGTTGGGAGAATAGAGGAAAAAACTATAAAAAGTAGATAGTAAATGAAGAGGGCTGCATACTGTACATAATATGACACGCTCACATAGCCAAGAGCTGCAAAGAAATGGAAGCAGGAGCTACTGACTGGCTCATTCCAGACAGACTGAATGTCAGGGGAAAAGGGTTTTCTGTCCTGGAGCTGTTGGTTGTTTTGTTTTGTTTTAATCTCAGAGATTACTGGGGAGAGCAAACACACCCATGCACATGCCACTAAGAAACACAAAAGGCACACATGAAGGCAAAGCGCACTCCTCTGGTTTCAAGCCTTCCTTCAGCAGTTTGTGTTTCATTCCAGAAGATACACACACTTAACAGATAAACGCTTTCCATTCGCACAGAAGGAGCCAAATGCTCACAGTGCACACACTGCACCTTGCTGTTTTCACTTGATGGTGCATTTCTTACAGAGGTTTCTTGATCAGTACCTATAGGTCTATCTTAGGTTTTTTTTGGAATGAGTTATGTAAAATTTGTTGGCGATTCTAGCACTGGGCCATTCTTAATTTACCTATTTCACATTCTTATGAAAAAGGGTTGCTTTTGGGGTGCCTGGGTGGGTCAGTCAGGCGTCAGGCTCTTGATTTCGGCTCAGGTCATGATCTCGCGGTTCATGGGTTCCAGACCCGTGTCGGGCTCAGTGCTGACAGCTCAGAGCCTGCTTGGGATTCTCTCTCTCTGTGCCCCTCCCCTGCTCATGCATGTGCGCACTCTCTCTCTCTCTCCATAAGTAAATAAGCTTAAAAAAAAAGGGCTGCTTTTGATAAAGTATGACACAGGCTCCTGAATGGTTAACAGCTAATGTTACTGTGACGACTGCTGTGCCCTTTAAAGTAAAATTTAATAGGCTCTGAACTCGAATGCTTACCGAATGAGGAAAGAGAGAAAAAAGTTCAAAGAACCGAATAGAGGAAATAGCCTTTTTTCATCAAGTGGATCTAGAAAGCTGAGGCTGTCTCTGATTCTGCTGTGGCTCCGTCCCTTGTGGAAGGACGGGAGGGCAGGACGAGGGGACAGGTGAGTTCTGCGCGTGCGCCGTGTAGAGCTGCTGCCTGGGGACGCCTGCCCCTCCCGCACAGCCTGTTTCAAGCATCTGGCTGGTGTGTGCCATACGGGAAAGTGACAGGATTTACTTTCAGTTTTGAACACTGTGACTCACGCCAGCACTCTGTTCAACTGTGGCCGCATTTGTAATATTTAAGAAGAAAAGAGAAAGGCAAGTCACCTCAAGATGAGGAGGCAGGGCACCTAGAAACCTACCTTGTCTCTCAGCTCCACGGTCAAGTGACCAAGAATTCCTCACTTTCTGAAGCTATTTTCAAGAAAAATCGAAACTTTGTGTCCTTTCAAAATGGGCTTTCATGCTTTCCAACAATTGAAAAATATGATTTCAAAGTAGTTTTCCTTTTCTCCTGGGCTTTCTACAAGCCAAGGTTGCACAGTGTGAGAAATCTAGGTTCAGGACTGGGATTCCATGCCAGCACGCGAGTAAAAGAATGCAGACGTGCAGAGTTCACGAAAGTGGCACGCTGAAGGGGCGGGTAACCCAAGTTGACAGAGTTTGAGTTTATTTATTTATTTTCTTTTTATTTTAAAAAAGTTTTTATTCTTGAGAGAGAGACAACAAGCGTGAGTGGGGGAGGATCAGAGAGAGAGAGGGAGATACAGAATTGGAAGCAGGCTCCAGGTTCTGAGCTGTCAGCACAGAGCCCAACGCGAGGCTCAAACTCACGAACCACGAGGTCATGACCTGAGCCGAAGTCGGACGCTTAACCGACTGAGCCATCGAGGCGCCCCCGAGTTTATTTTCTTTTACTCACATCCTTGAAGTCCCTTTCTGCTCCCCGTTCCTCTGGAAGACACAGCTGGTGCTGCTCAGAAGCAGGGTGGATTTGGGCTGAGGTTCGCGAAGCCCACACGGCTCACAGCGTGGGAGGTGGCGCTGCAGCTGGCACTGGGCACGCCGGCCCAAGTGCCTTCCATGCTCATCAGCAAGCACTACACAAGCCCTCTGAACGCACGGGGCTGGTGGGGGCAAGGGCCCTGACGGGCCGAGGGCAGAGTTAAGCACAGGACCCTTCTCTGACGCCACTCCGCCCGTGGACCCGGATGCCGTGAGTCGGGTGGGTGCACGAGTGTGCTCCACCAAGCTTACATCTCACGGCACAGATGTCCACACCTGAACGCACAAACTCGCCAGATGAGAGACCCGGCCCCGGAGGGGAAGGGCTGATCCAAGCACTGGGCACACAGCACATGGCCACGAGAGGACGGAGCCGGCCCTCTGCGCTCTCCTTTGCAACCCTGCTGTGTTTCCTTTGGGCTCACGCCACCAGTGCAAAGAGCCGGTTTTCAAAAGGTTGTTCGGCCAGAAAAAGAATTCTAGATGCTTTTACGTTCTAAGAGAAATGAGACCAATCCCCTTCTCTCACCCTGTGCCCCGACACGGAGAGCCTGGGGTGACCGATGTGAATAGCATTTGTCCTCCCGCCAGGAGGGTCCCTGCCAGGTCAGCCTGCGGTGGAGGCCCACCTCCACCCCCGACAACAGAGCGCAGACACCAAGCAATTTTGCCCGACAGCAGTATTTTATTGTTATGACAGTGTCTTGTGACCCACTTTACTCCCTGCTCCTTCCTTCTCGGTTATAAGCAGTAATTAGTAATGTCAGCGTTCTGGCTGGGCTGCTCCAGGCCCATTAATAATGCAAGAACAGGAACAGGACGGATGCGTAAGTGTACAACAGAGGTTTCAAGGTTAAAAGCGGTAACGGAGAGAGCTATGGCGGGGGTAGGGGTGTGGTGGTGGTGGCGTGCAGGTGGTTTTGGGAGGAGAGGAGGAGAGGAGGGGAGAGAGAGAGAGAGAGAGAGAGAGAGAGAGAGAGAGAGATGAAAGGAGTGGGAAGAGAGAGATATGGAGAGAAAGAGAGATTTAAATCTATTTTCTGAAACGCTCAGCTTCCCTTTAGGGCAATACGTATGGCAAAGCACAACTTCCTAGGTGTCTTCGCTCAAGCTCGCCCGCTCTTCTGGAGTGGACACACGTCTCTGGCCACCTGGCAGGGAGTGTGTCCGTGCTAAGTCTCTGGCGCTGGAGAGTTACTAGTGTATGAAATTGAGGTCAGAGAAAACTATACCAGTATCTTTCAAACATATTTTCGACGTTCTAAATGACTTCTCTTAGGAAGGCAATGCCTGCTTGTTCAGCAGAACTGGTGCCTTCCCACTTACTGCTTTTAAAGGAAAGTCAAGACAAGTGATGCAGAACAGGCCCTGGGTTTGGCAGCCAGCCCCCCCCCCCCCCAGAAGACCAGACTGCCTTGTTACAACTGCTCCCGCATCTCTGCAAATCCCCATCACAGGGGTTGCAAGGGGAGGATTTCAAAAGGTACAATATCACACATTCCTGCAGAGCTTCGTAGAAGAACTGAATGACTGCACACAGCCTGCAAATCAGGCCTGGAAAAGGATTAGAACAGCTATTTGAGAAACACTTGCTTGGTAGATGGGGGAGGGACTACAAAGCAAGGCTGAGCCCCATCCTGAGCTGTTCCTATCTTCGATGTCTTTTAAGCAGGGGAGGATTTGCTACTAAACCTTTCATTTGTCCCTCACATACCAAAAGTGAGCACTTTTCTGTACTAGGAGAGTAACAACTTTATCTGCTAATTTCACAACCAAGGGCAGACATTTTTAAAACTGGTCGTCGTAATGCTTAGGTGAATCAGAATCCATTCTTACTTGTGAGTCAGAAATAGTCTCTATGGGAAAAGGAAGCAGCTGGAAACAGTCTTGAATCATGACTACTGAAAGCTGTATTTATCCCCACGGGGCTGACTTCAGGGCCAAGGTTTTCTCACTGGCTGTGTACTGACCAGGAGCCCCTGAGCACGTGCCATAGACGGGGCTCCTGCACAAAAGCCCGTGAGAAGAAGAAAGGCAGAGCAGCCGAGTTCCAGCGCTTTCCACTTGCCATGAAACCCCACCCCCTCACCTAAAACCTAAGGCCACGCACTCTTCTTTGAGGGAGTTGTGAAGTCAGCCCCCACAACAATCTAGGAGAAATGGCTATGGGCTTGAAAACACACAAGCACAGTTTACAAATCACATTTCTACCTTTCCCTGCAAGTTCCCTTAAAGCCAACAAAACAAAATAAAAATCCTTTTGCTTTAAAAGTTCAGGTGACTGGGTTGATGAAAATGGGTGCGTTATTTTTAATTTTTAAAAATGTTTTTATTCATTTTTGAGACAGAGAGAGACAGAGCATGAGCAGGGGTGGGGCAGAGAGACAGGGAGACACAGAATCCGAAGCAGGCTCCAGGCTCTGAGCTGTCAGCACAGAGCCTGACGCGGGGCTCAAACTCACGGACTGTGAGATGATGACCTGAGCTGAAGTCGGACGCTTAACTGACTGAGCCACCCAGACGATGGCTATTTTTTAATTGAGAAAGCAAGACACGCATAACTCCCCAACCCCTTGCGCCTTCGTGTGCCTCCCCCGACGCAACTCCTGGGGCCAGTTTAAGAAACTGCCCATCCTCCCAGTTCTTCTATACGTGTCCACACATATCTCCTGAGACCCGAATATAAACATACCATTCCCACCTGCCACTCTACACCTGGCTCTCTTCACTTAATACATCTCGGGGGCAGCTCAGCGGTGGCACCACCACACCCATGTCATCCTTCTAAATCTTACTGTGCATGCCAGGAGTTGACTGACGGGAGCTCACGAGCCAAATGTGGCCTGTTGCCCATTTTTCTAAACACCATCTTACTGGATCACAGCCACGTTCACTGTTCACATATCATCCAGGGTGACTCGCGAGGTACGAAGGCAGAACCGACTAGCTGCGACAGAGACTATGCGGTTGGAAAAGCCTCAACTGTTTGCTGTCTTGCCCTTCGTGGAAAAAGTCTGCCATCCCCCGGTGTAGCGCTGTATGGATGCGCCAAAATGTACTCGACTTGTTTCCTGCTGGTGAACACGGTCATGGAAAATTCCTTACTCCTTAGAATTCCTCTTATTCCTTAAGAATAAAATTACAAGTCTGCAAATGCTGAGGGGTGTGAAGAAGGATGAGGAAAGGAAGAGCAGGAGCTAGCTGGGAAGAGGCCAGCCTGAAGGCGCAGGCTTCAAGAGGGAACTTCAGGGTGAGCTACAACCTCCCGAAGTGTCACTTCCTCTTTTTAGAGGAAACAAGAGGCTAACTGTGGGTCTTTTGATAAGAGGAAATCCCCCTCTGCTGTATCAAAGCTACTCCCTGTGTTTGTGTTTTTCTAAGTCTGGCAAGGCTGCCCGAAGCACACTGTGACCAAATTAGGAAGTGAGCAGGCTGATGTCTCTAAGCTGGTCACCGCACAGCCAGGACGCCCGAGCATGTGTAGACAGTGATGGATGGGGAGGGAGAGGCTCTATCCAAGAAGGAAATGCTATTTGCTTGAGCAATTAGCCTTATAAAAGTTACACTTAATAAGAATTAGTAAGTGTTCTGTAAGACGAAATTCACTTGCTACTGCTGACAAAAAAACAAAGGCTTCAAAGGTTTCTACAAGGAAAGATTGTGGGAGACAGAGAGTGGAGACAAATTTTGAGGGGCATTATCCTGTTTATTTCGAGGGCAGTGAAGATCTTGAGAAGTACCAGGGGAAACTATACCAACGAGCTCTTTAACAGATTCAGAAGTTTTACACTATTGAGAAAAAAAAAAAAAAAAAGAATTCAGGCAGGTCGTGCTAAATAAGAATTGTGTAAACGCTCCATTTTACCACTACTGCCTCCCCAACTGCTTCATTTGCTGGAACAGTAAGGTTTAAACTCATCTTACGGTTTCCAACAAGGTCTAGGAATGTGTGACACTGAATCATTCATACTGAGCTCCTTTCTGCCACCTCTACTTGGTGATATTCTCTTCCAGGAATGACTTCTGAGTTAACTTCTGATTCTGAGCCAACAAGCTGACAATCTATTCTGACCACCAGTACTATCGGGGTAATAAAGTTTAAACTTGAAAACCCTTGCTTTCCTCCCAAATTTCCAGATCAGCAAGATTCTTGGACATGGTTTTTATTCCCTGAAGAATGTGCTTGGGTCCATTCCAGCATTCGCTCTGAAATCAGATGTGCAGTTAAGAGTTAAGGTAAATTTTATGTAAAAAAAAAATTTTTTTTTAACGTTTATTTACTTTTGAGACAGAGCATGAATGGGGGAGGGTCAGAGAGAGAGGGAGACACAGAATCTGAAGCAGGCTCCGGGCTCTGAGCCGTCAGCACAGAGCCCGACACGGGGCTCGAACTCACAGACTGTGAGATCATGACCCGAGCTGAAGTCAGACGCTCAACCGACTGAGCCACCCAGGCGCCCCAAGTTAAGGTAAGTTTTAAGTGACACATCTCAGTTCCTCTTTACAGGAAAACCTTCAAGGGAGCCAGGCCAAAAGATGTGGGCACTGTTTTTGGCTCAACCGGAGAACCTGTCCTCTTCAGCTAGAGAAGGCGGAGGCCCAGGGCAGAGGTCTGTGTGGGCGGTGTGCTGGGGTGTGTGGCTCCCGCTGAAACAGCATGCTGTGTGCTGCCGCTAATGTGTGCTGAGCTGGCATTCTGGTTCCTTCACCAGGCTGCACGGGGCAGGAATTTCGCAGCCCCACTCTCATGTTGTCGAAATAGCTAAACGTTTGCTTCCTACCTACTCCTATGCTGATTTCTGAACAACATTTACTTATAATCACCTCAAGGGCCCATGGATTTTACAGGTAACAAGGCTACAAATAGGTACTTTCTGAAAGACCTTGGCTGACTCACACGCAGACCCACCAGTTGAGAACTGTACTTTTATTAGTCCGGGTTTCTGTGGCCCATCATTAACGGAGGCGATTGGTATACCAACAAACCACTGAGGACACGTACAGATTTGACCTATCCTGGAATCTCTGCAGAGTCCACATGTAACTGAAAGACGTAAGCTGGAGGTCTTCCTCAAGCTACACGAACCTGGCACTCAGTCTCTTCCCTGCACCTGCACAATGAAGGTGCCAGGGCCATATGATCTCCCAGGTACCCCTTGCAGATCCAACGCCCGCAATCACAGATTCGGGAAACCAGAGGCCAGGATCACAGAACCGTGCGGGCAGGCCCAGTGCAGCTCCTCCGAACAGGGTCTGAACTACACATTCACGTGTCCCGCTCGGCCAGTGCCGAGGATACCCACACCTGTCCTGAACTCACGCTGCCTGTCAGATGGCACGTGTCCCACGGCCTGCTCTCGGACACCCCCCGCCCCGCAGCCGGGCCTAAACCAGAGGTGTGCTCTTCCCAAGGCTGTCTTCTGCTTTTTCACTGCAGTGCAGAAGGCACCGCGGCTCTACACAAGCTTCGTTGTCCTTTTATGGTAGAAAAATGAATTGCTTGCCCAGCAGTGGAGCTGAGAGAGATGACAGAACGGAAAGTTGTCATTTGTTGTGGTTCTGGCAGCAACAGAAGAGAGCGTTCTCCCCTCAGCCACCCCGGGATGGACAGCGCACGCCAGGCATTCAGCGGGGGGAAAGCAAACCCAGCCAAACTGCTCCCAGAGGCATTCCTCCCTTGCCTGGCCTGTGAACGGATGTGTTTATTTATGAAGAGTGTCAAGATTTATTTTGGGGGAAATGTGCTTTTTACAAAACAAGGTATAAAAAGGCTGTTTTGTGTTCTGCTAGGAGCTCTTAACAGAGGTACCCCAGAAAACCTGGTTCCAGTCAGATCGCATCCAAGGAACAGGCTTCATTTCCTTGCAGGATGAGGCTATGGGACTGGAGCTGGGCGGGGAGGTGACCTTGCTCAGAAGGGGGGGGGGGGGGCGCAGCTGTTGCTGAAGGAAGCCCAGCTCAGCCCACTGCCTGTCTGTCTCTGGCTCAGCTCGGAGGGATGGGGGAGTAGCCACCAACTCCGGATAAATACATTCCTGGGAAAAACACACCAATATCCAAGTCCCTGGGGTAATAAACAGCAGTTGGTACCACAGGGCCTTAAATTGTTTGCATTTCTGTCAGGAGGCCCACAGAAAAAAAGCAGGCCTCCCAGCAGCTGGGAAAACATGTTGCAAAAGGAGAATTAGGCAATTCTCTGTATGCACATCGGAGTTAGGGAAATTAAGCTTATCTGAGTGAGAGAAATTAAGCTTATCCAACATGCTTTCAGCTGGAAAACAAGCCATTTTAAATGGGTGGGGAAAAAACTTTGTGATGGTTACATGGTTTCTTCCATATTTAAAGCACCCAAGGACTAAAAAATCACACTGGCCACCGAGTGGTAGCTAAGTAGCAGCCACTAAAAGAGGGGCCAAACGTCCAGTTTTCCTACAGCCAGCAATGCAGACCCTTCCACGCAGCAGGGGGTGTGCTCCAGAGATAGCCAGCCTCTGGACATGTGCGGCCAGGATGTGTCCACCTGGCCTGTGAACGGATGTGTTTATTTATGAAGAATGTCAAGATTTATTTCCTTGCACTGTCTCTGCCTCTATCATCGCTCGTAACCACTGCTGCCTTTACCTTCCGGCCTCCCGTCCCCTCCCCCCCCGCCAGCCCTCGGAAGACCAGCTTCTTCAGGCTAATCCACTCCCACCGAAGTCTTCTGGAGAAGGGTCAAAGATTGCTAGTGAACACCCACAACACTGCACTAATGGGCTTTGGGACCGGATGGTTTGTTAACCAAGGACAAAGGAGCACCGTGCATTCCCAGGTCGCGGGTCACTAGGTCACCAGAAGTGACCAGATATTCCAGCCCCCCTAACGCTGTGTATCTAGTCTCTCCCCCCATCATGCCCTCTTTCATGGCTCTACAAGGCCCGCGCTCCCACCAGAACTCTGATCACACCATTCCAGCATTAGGCTCGCAACGGCTCCCTGGGGTGTCTGCAACCAGATTCAGGCCTCTGCTCTGCAAACCCCTTTCTATCTAAGGTCCACTCCTCCTCCCAGTGTGTACTCTTCCTGCTCTGTCACACCCGTCTAACGGCTGACCCTTGTTCAGCTCTGCTTGCATCACTCCCTGGCCAGGAATACTGGTCTACCTGTACCCATCAGGTCCTGTTAGGACTCAGGCCAAGACCCAGCTCTTCCATGAAGTGTTTCCAGACTGCCCAATTAAAGTCCCCCCCACCCACCCCACCCCCCATCCCCAGCTCCCTCCAGCAGCCCCTGTCACCATCTCACTATTTAGCTGTCTGCATAAGGAGTCGGCTTCTCCGACCCTGATCTCAGGGTACGGTTGTGGCTGCCCCTTCTGTATTTCTTCAGGCATGGCAATACTCACTCAAAATCTGCTGAATGAACCACCAAATTCCAATCAAAGCCAACCGGCCTGTCTTGGCACAAGCCTATGCCGACGGAGCAGCGAAGCAGTGTGTTCAAAGAGGGAAGAAACGTGAGACAGAAGGGGGAAGACCCTCATCAGCTTCTTCTACAGGAAGACAGCAAGGCAAAGGGTTTTAAGAAAGAGCGAATCCAAAGGAAGAACTCAGGGGAGAGAGAAGAGCTGTAGGGCAGAAAAGGGCCACGGTGACAAAGGGCTCGGGGGCACGGGGCTTGCCTGGACAGAAGACCCACCCTGGGAGAGCTAAGTGGAGGTCAGAGTGGGCACTGGCCTCAGAAGGGAGGAGGAGGCCTTTACAGGAGGAAAGAGCCTGGGAGCTAAGAGGATTGTGACAATAGGAGACGTTTTAAGCAGCAAAATCTCGAAGAGGGGACAGGAAGGGAAAAGGACAAGCAGGAGTCAAAGACAAGAGAAGAAAAACTTGTGACCTATCTCACTCTCTTTGGGCTAGAATCTGGATCAGCTTCTCAGGTACAGGGAGCTTTTGAAATTTAAAATACTTTTCATATGAATTTCTGATGGAAAATAAAACTGAAAAGTGCTTTTATGAGACTACAGGGATTTGATCTGAGAAACTCTTAGCCTGTTTCTCTTTGAAAACCAAATGCCAACACCAGTTTCAAAACCCTCAGTAGTCTAGAAACCAGGGACTTTGGACTGGAAGGACACTCGAAAGGTCATCTGGTCTCTTTTCTGGCCTTGAAGCTGCACCACTTGCTGGAAGGCATTCCAGAGAAGGGAGTCTGTCCAGAGCTGTCCAGCAGCCTCTGGCAGGGCCTCAGCATAGGGCTCCAGGCTCCTGGAACAGTCTCCCTGTTACAATATGGTCTAGTGACCCATCTTGGATTCCTTCTGGGTACCTCAGGTCTTTTTTCTCAGGGAAGCTGGAAAACACCAGGTCACTACCACTCCTACGGAAGAATCTTGTACAAATAGAGACCCTCTCCCCTGCTCCTCCCTCCTCCTTCCAGGAGGAGGGGCCCTTTCACACCTTCCCACAAAAAGCTTTTGACAGTTTCCTACACATTTTCCTAATCTCTTAAAAAAGTGACAATGCCAGAGAACTGGACATCCGATTAAGGGTCTTTCCAGTTCCCAAGACTGAGAGGCCCTCAAAGGAACAAAGGAGGTAAGAGCACAGATACAGAAAAGTCAAGTGAAATCAGATTTTTAAAATGCAGTATTTTTAAAATTAACTTCGTTATGAAAAAATTTAAATATATAAAAAAGTAGGCAATAAACATGAGTGATGGATCCCCACATGCCCATCACTCAGGTTTAATAATGATCAGCTCAGGGCCAATCTGCTTTCTGTACCCCATCTACTCTCCCGTCCTCTCTCACCCAGTGTAATTTTAAGGTAAACCCCAGACGACATATCCTTTCATTTGTAAGCATTTCAGTTTGTATCACCAAAAGATAAGGAAGGAAGGAGTGTTAAAACTGGCCAACCATACCCAAATCACACCTAAAACCACAGAACAGTGAGGAAGGCAGCCTTGGATTTGACTCCTGATGTTGTCACTTGCTAGCTGTGACTCTGGAGAGACGAGGAGCAGAAAATCCCTGAGAGGCTGTCGGCAGGAGCTCTGCTGGCAGGCTGCTCGGCATCTGCCTGTCGAACTAGGGAGCCGACCCCCATCTCAAAGGGCCCTGAGCACCTGCGCGAACTTTCTGGCAGAATGGCACAACAGCTTGTGGGTGTGCTTCTTCCCCAACCGCAGCCGACTGGACCGTTTCTCAGCGCTGATCCTAGTCACCAAGGTCATTCTGTGCCCGTTTTCTCAAGGCGCATCAGTACGTAATGCAGATACAGAGCACACAAGCTGCCCTTCAGTTTCATGGGCTGGCAGGGCTGGCTCTTTAGCCTGTGACAGTGGAGACGAAGGGCAATGGGTTCTGGGTCTGGGCGGTTCATCCCACGTAGAACGGTAAACTGGCCCACAGACAGGCACGCGTTTCTAAACATGGTCTGGGAGAAAGCCATGCGGCCTCTGGGGACTAGAGAGGTGACAGAGGCCCTCCTCATTCTCTGTATGTTTGTCTCAAAGTCAGGGAGGACACCAAAGAGTAAAACGCCATGCTCAATGCTTAGTTACTCCACAGCGACAGGAAAATGACCTTGAGTCCAGCGGCACACATGAGAAATCCCACCCTGTGACGGCTCCGCTCC